CATATTCATCTTTCCGCTTGCCTCCTCAACAGGAAGGTCAAATGGCAGGGTCGGCTGCCGCTTCACAACTGCTCCCCTGGAGTTTAAGGCCTTCAGTATGTTTCTCAAGGACGTCACTTTCATTTGAGCCAGAGAAACAAAACAAACACCTAAAACAAGGAGTCTTTTACGCATAATGTTTCTTTTTTCACATTTAGGTTATTCTAAAAACAAATTAATGACCATTGCCTAAATAAAGTATTTCAAAATGAATGACGAATAGGGTCAAGTTTGAAAAAACTGAAAGAGTTACTGTGTCTAATTTGCTGGAAGGTGCCCATTTTTTGAAGAAATATGAAAAACTGACATTAGACTCATGTGTTTGTTTGCAGGCTATTGTTGAACTCTAGATAAAGAGAAAAGGTTGGCTTAGCTAAAAATAGTTATTATAACAAATACAGAAATAAGTATTTGTCTGCTTAACAGGAAACATGCAAACCTAATCTAAAATGTAATGACATTTTCACAAATATTGTAATTAATGTATTGACCCTTTGCCAAGCCCCTGCTGCTACTTTGTGAAGCTATCAGAGCTAGCAAGAAGCCCACACACACATACTGCACTCCTTCATGAAATATCAGTTTTCTTGGAAGAACAAAAAAGCAATTTCGGAGAGTAACATTTAGAAAGTCTACAATATGCATTGGAATTATCTATCCAGGCTGTCAAACTGACTTGGCAGCGAAAGAAGGTTAAAAAGATGAAGATAGAATCTAAAGCCTTCTACAGATCACAGTGTAAAGTGAACCATGTTTTTTTTTATAACATTAAGCATGTTAATAGAGCCATATACTGTAGTTGTTAGAACCTGGATGCAGCTGTGATTGGGCAGTCCGCGTTCAAGTGCCAGTAGTAACATACTCATACACATTAAAATAAAGTTCATTTTACCCATTCCTGATTGCCACTGCATACAAACTGTACATGTTGTACTTGTTGCTGTATACATGTATTTGTTATTTGAATGGAGGATGTAAGACACATATTGAGCATGCTTGAACAGACACCTGAAACAACCCCGTTTAACAAGATGAATGGGGGTACAAATTTGAAAAAGATCTAAGGGAAACTAATGTCTCACTCTCTCTCTCTCTCATAAGCCAACACACACACACACACACACACACACACACACACACACACACACACACACACACACACACACACACGTAGTACTAGTCTAATGTATGTGAAGTCTTTCAAAACAAGTTCATGCAAACATACAAACACACGCCACGGATGGATGAGTGATTAGTAACTTAATGAAACTGAAGTGTCATCATTTTTCAGTTGAGTGCTGGAGGTTCGTTGAAATGAATTATGACCTCTGTATTGCCGTACATCTACCATTCTCTCACTCCATCCGGCTTTCCATCTGATTGTGTGTGTGTGTCTCTTTCTCTCCCGCTTCGGTTCTGTCTTCCTCTCTCACCTCTTCTCATCGTCCATCTCTCCTGCCTGCCTGATCATCATAATCAGATATGATTTATGGTGACACACAGACTCACGCGCACACAAATCGTTAATCAGATATTTGTCCTGTGGGCTATCATAATTCTAACGATAACAGAATCTCTGGAAGATTAAAAAAACACACTGCAACAAGATGCTGTCTGATAAATTACTCTCCTTGAGCGTTTTATGAGCCCCCACACACAAAAAGCACTTTTTTGTACTCACACATACCTGCTTAACAAACTGGCCCTATGTATCTAAAATGACTACAGTCATGAAAGCAGACAGGACAGAACAATCCGTCATCTCTGTCATTAGTTTCTCATACTTCCTCCAGCCTAACTCATTCTTGATGTGCTACACATGTCTCAGTTTAGCTGATGTGAAAATGCTAAATGATGCCTTAGTATACTAATGCAATTCATGCCGCCAGCATGCTAATGATCGCTGGTAGCTGATTTTAAAGGTGCAATCAGTAATATTTCACTGAGTCTTTTCACAAAATGAGCGTTATTTATGAGCAGGGGCTTGCAAGTGTTGCTGATCAATGCCAGCAACAGAGCAGCAACTCAGGCTACAGAGGAGCTTTCAAACTTTCTAAAGAGGCAGGTCTGTCTAAAAGCCCGGACACACCAAGCTGACACCAAAGAACTGACACAGACGGACCCCCGACTGTTGTGTCGCCTCGCGTCTCTGCGTCGTGGCCATGTTTCGCTCTGGAACACACCGCAAAGACTTCAGCCGACGGCCAAAACGCATGTACGAACTGCGCATGCGTGAGTGGCAATAACTCTCCCTACCAGCAGGCGGCAGTAGTGTGTATTCGTTATTCAAAAGAGGCAACAACCTGAAGACAGACTGCGTGATACACTGAGAGAAGAAGAACAGACTGCATGATACAAACAAACAACAAATAGCGTGTGCGTTCCATTTTCACTCTACAGCGAGAAGCTCATGGGGCTTTCCCGAACGTGTGTCGAGAGCCGGAGTTCAATGAAATCTCAGATTTGTTTGGATCCCTCACTTCCATTTCGCTTCTCATGCACTGATTCGCTAGCTGAACAGCCAATCAACAGAGTGATTTATTTTGCCGACAGCCTTTGGCCGACTGCCCACCGATTCGACATGTTGAATCGGTGGTTTTTCGGCCGAAAAGGTGTCGGCACGGCTGAAAAGACACATCGGTGCAGGACACACCAATCTGAGTAGGGCGTGTCGACGCTCATTGACGGCCTGGCGCCCATCGACGGCCAAAATCGGCTTGGTGTCTCCGGGCCTTAAAATACTTGTTTCTGTGAATGGGAAGGTAAAGGCAACTGGGGAGAATATTATGCTTTCTTCTGCACTCTATCGAGCTGAATGATTTGTTGTTCCAAAATGAAAAAGCCAACTTTTTTAAATAAATATGCCAGCCCTCTCTGGATGCATGTGAGTATGCAAATTGAACATTTGCTTTGACATTAGCGATGATTAGAAAATATTTGCTCCAAAAAATGTTCTCTATTTATTTTGCCAACACCAAATTAAGTGTTTGATCAGATATTCACTTACAGTAAGGAGATGAACCCGGCTGCATTTGAAAAAAGGATTTACAAAGGTTATTTAAACAGAAGCTTAAGCTAAATGTTAAAGCTAAAAAAAAAGCCTTAAGCCCCATGCCCCCGGTACCGGGGGCAAAACGCAACATCTTGCAAGAAACAGCGTCTGAGGGCTTCTTAACATTTAACAAACTATGAATGTGTCATACCCACTTAACGGGAAGAAACTCAGCTATCAGACAATATTAACATTTTTTAGCTAAACGAAACACAAGGGTAATACCAAGCTTCTGAATTAGCCCCGAGCGAAAAAAATGCACTTAGCACAGGACTATAAATATCGTTATTACTTATCGGATCTGCACAAACAAGATATCAGCTAGCAAGCTGAGATTCCACAGATTCTATAAATATAAGTATCAACACAGTGCGATCAAAACTTGCGGCAGGGGAAGCAAACCCAGACAACACACAACATAGCTTTACGGAGCAAAAACGGGAAATATGTCTTACCTTTTGCTGTTTCTGATCAAAAGTTGTGTTCAATGGCATTACAACTATAACAACTCTGATGAAGGTTAATCCAATGTGTCTGTGTCTCTTTGAAATGATTACTGATAATCCATCTTCATATTTATGGCTATAACAGTTTTCAGAGTGTGTTTTGGGCATTCTGGCTACGCATCACTCATTCACCAATGGTTAATGTTTAGATGGATTTTAGGGACTTCCCCTCGATTCTATTTGCTCTAATGGTTAAAAAGAGGTGTCAATCATCAAAATCGACCGAGGGGGGACAGAGATATGAAAAATCCACACAAATTACCCCAGAGGTTTTTTTTTGCTAAACCTCTCTAAAAAGGTCAAATGTCACTTGTTTTGCATCAATCTTGATACAGGGTACTTATTATATGTTATAGTTTGGATTCCTAAAGCTTTTAGTCTACCATCCCATCATTCTTGAATGATGGGATGGTAGACTAAAAGCTTTAGGAATCCAAACTATAACATATAATAAGTACCCTGTATCAAGATTGATGCAAAACAAGTGACATTTGACCTTNTTACCGGTTCTTTACTGATAAAGATTTAGCCCTAGAAAGCACATGGCTACTTAGCATGCAAAATGACGTCATTCTGCATGTTAAGTAGCCATGTGCTTTCGTGTTATCGGCTGAATCTTTATTTATTGATTAGATCACGTTACTCTGATGATAGTGTTCAAGACAGCCTATATGTCTGAACTCGATCCTTAGAGTAATGTGTTACGGAGCCTTCTCTTCAATATTGTTTCCACATAACGAGCATTTTGCGCTGCTCTTTTCCAATTTGGAAGCAGAATGTGTGAAAGCATACAGCACGATGCGGGGTGTGTCTCTAGACATCTCTAGACTGGAAATAGCGGGGCCCAGTCGTGAACTCGCCTCACAGGTGCACATGCCAGGATAGAGGACATCAGACTCCAGAGAAAACTTGCTCGAGTCCGAGTCCAAGTCAGAGCGTCAATGTACAAGTCGAGTCCGAGTCATTGTGGGGGGGGGAATTCACGAGTCCGAGTCCGAGTCATCGTGCGCAAGAATTCACGAGTCCAAGCCCGAGTCATCGTCAATCAGTGCGTGAGTCCGAGTCAAGTCACGAAAATCGGCACTCGAGTGCTCCATCTCTGCCCGTGAGCATCAAATCTAACCCACTGACCATGCTTAATAAAGTGTTTTTTATATATTTATGTGTATATTACTTACGTTTGTTATAAATACTTGATATCCACTGTGATAATTGATAGTAGAATATATTTAAAAGATTACACAAAAAAAGGAAACTTAGGTAAGACTGAATCCAAAGATCTGTATTTCGAATTTAATGCATCTTTTATAGTGAAGTGCAGTTTGTTGTTATTTGGTGAATTGACTTGGATCCGTGTCTTTAAAGTATTATTTGTATCTGTATTGTAGTCTCTGTGTTTTTACCTCAAACTTGGAGGCGATGAGCATGGTGGTGGAGCCGACCAGCTGCAGCAGCTCCCTGTGGACGGGGGTCTTTGAGAGGTAGTGGTCCGCCATCTTCACAGCCAGGTACAGAGTCTCATGGTACAGCTCAAAGTTCTCCTGCACACACACACGGTCAGGTCAACTAATGCACACACACAGAATAAATGAAACTGGAGAAGCAGCATGCGTGAGATACACACACACACAGTTTTGATGTCATTTAGTTTCTGTCATCCAGCTGAGCAGGGAATGATTTTTATAATTACACGCTTACAATTGCTGAGAATGGTTTTACTTCGATTTTTCAAATGGATTCCCTCACTCACTTTACCATTCGAAAATATAATCACTTATTCTTGCAAATGCACGAAATGCTAGCAGGAAAACCCACCTGTACTTCCACCAGCCAGTCGATCAGGATGGCTCTCATCTCTGGGTTGAGGGTGGGCTGACTGGGCATGTAGTTACAGAGGACAAACTTCTCCTGCAGACCATAAAAACACAAGAGGGGGAAGATTACCTTCTGCATTAAAAGCTACTTTAAAGGGGACATATCATTCTATAGAAGTAAGAAGAGAAGTAACGGGGCAGAAACCCTCCTATTTACGCAGCGGTCCAGACATAGACATCAAACGGCGACACATATTCAGTTGCCAGTTGCTATGCCATTAGGGCAGGGATATCTAGATACTCTCCAAGGTTTGACATAATGAAATGTGCTACTTTTAAAGCAAGCAGCGATGTTTTCAAATCTGTAATCAAAAAGCTCCTCAAAAACACTATCGAAGCAGTTCCTGCCGTTGCTACGTTAGTTCAAACGGTAACAACGGACTATTTTTCGTAGCGGATGCATGTCAATTTAAATAAATACAACAATTTTTTAAATCAATAAAATCATTTTCCAAATCCATAAAAGCATTTCAATTAATATTGGGAGTCATGTCGTTACTTTGTTGAGAATGTGGCCGTGTAATACGTAAGGGATAATGTGCCTTCATGCCGTTCTAGATCCCTCCACTTCGCGTCGGGCTCCTGATCGGCCTGTCGGTGTTCTTTCCCCCATAATGACCGCGTCGCTGCACATTATCCCTTACGTATGATTATATAGAGTCAACATTTGTTTTAAAGCAGGAGGTGCAAACGCTTGCCTCGGGGAGGGAGAAAAAGAGCCACAGCGGAGAATAAACAGAAGGGCAACCATGGCAACCATGCAAGGGAAGTCTTCTTCGCTGCTTTTGTGGCAGACTACAGCGCCACTTACAGGCCTGGCATATGTACTACAGCGTCTCCAGCACTTTCGATGATCGGCCGTGGCCCAACCTCTCAATCCCCTGATAGGTGGAGAATTGACCAATAGCCGTAGCGCCACTTTACTGACGTCAGGACAGTGTTCAAATCTGGATCAGTCTGTATCAGATCCGTTACAGCCCCTTTTTTTAGAGATTTGGGTATTGAGGAAAATAGAGAGGGTTGTGTTTTCTGACACTTGGTGAGTTCCCTGGAACACCGGGGACACATATTCATGTATAAGAGACATACAAGGGTGCATTTTGCATGATAGGTCCCCTTTAAATACTAAGTAACAGAGTTTTTGTCTCACCTCTCTCTTTTTAAGGTAGTCGAAGATGTCCTTAGCGTACTCGGGACACATGTAACAGTCTTCAGAGTTCTCAGAGTCGATGTCAAACTCCACTGGGATCTAGAGATCAGAGAACATTTGAGTGAGTTGACCTATTGCAGACATTAGTACAAGTCCAAAGCTTCTCCGGGTTCCCTCACCTGTTGTTTCAGGAGGTGTGCCGGCACCTCCGGGGCAGCAGGGGGCGCAGCAGCCTCCAGCTCTTCCACTGGAGCTGCTGCCCCCTGCTCCTCGTCCTTAGAAGTCTGTTCTTCCGTCACAGCCGGCGTCCCCTCCGAGCTCATAGATGAAGACTTTTCCAGGTTTGCATGGCTCTCCGTCGACACTGAAGTAGCGCTTGTTTTCTTCGCCTGCTTCTTGACCGTGTTCTTCTTCTTCCTCCCTGGAAGGCTGATCGTAACCTTATGAGCCTGTGAACAGTCAAAGAGACGTTAGGAATATAAAATCACCGCCTCTAGAAGGGATGACATGGCGATGTCCGAACATCTTTCAAATATGTTCAATATGATCAGTGTCAAGTACTTTGAGAAACTAGTCAAAAAACCTTCATGGCCCAAGCTGAAATATCACATTCTTTCAACACATCATCACCGATTCGGTCCATTTCACAGATGCCAAGCTGTAAATCTCCCAACATGGCAAACCAACATGGAGCTCGTTTCACACCGAGGTGAGGTGCAGAGAGAATCAATTCACACCTCAGTGGAGAACGACTGGGAGCCAGGTGACACCTTCAGTCAAAACCAAGGGATGAAGTGACACACACACCTTTTAGTTCCAAGTGTACACATCCTGTTGAGGTGTGATAACTGAAGCAATAGGTGACTTAGTTTAACCTCCTGATGAGTGCAGTAATGGTTTGATTTACAGAGGCCAGCAGAGAGACACTTTCAGAAAACGTATATACTAGGTGTAAATTCAAAATGTAAACAGTAGAGATTATTCTCCCTAAATGTGCACTTAGTCCAAAGGTTTCAGTCAGGTTGCTGGAGGGGGACAAGTTAGATGAGTAAAACATAAGAGTTAAAATATTTGAAATTCCACGCAGCAGTCAGACACAATGCTTTTTTCTCCTGTTGTACTCATTATCAAGCCCTATTTTTGATGCTGTGCTTCTCTCACTGTCAAACAAAGTGACCGTCACCTTGGTCACGTAGGGCCAACAATCAGACAGACACTGACTGATAGCCTTTCTTTGGACAGCACACAGTGGGAGAGCATCCAGAATTGAACCAGGATCATTCTGCATACAGACAGCAGCTAAAGAAACAGACCCTGTTGTTCTCATGCTTATATTTTAAGAAAAACAATCACTGCTGGAAGGTCAAGGACTTGTGTCGTAAAGAGCTCGGCTGCACGATGACTGATCTGACACTTTTAAATTTGAAGTACTTTTCCAGTTTTAGAGACACAAGACACACATATATTGTATTCCTGTGTGTGTGGGATCTGAAATATGACATGTTGTGAAGGAATAGCAAGGCACCCTTTGATTTTAATAACATATATAAAAAGAGATACACTCGAAGCCATGTTATCTCTGAAACCACAGGACCATTTCACTCATGCACCATAACATATCATCACGATGTACGAAGTGAGAGAATACAAATGGTCTCCCTCCTGGAATCCATGACTTCATCTTCTACGAATTGTAGTGCTTCTCTCTCCACAAAAACCTCAAACCAGACTCACATTTGTAATGTCGATGAAAGCAGTCCTCTTCTTGGGGGCTCCATGGGGAGGGGATGAGGCCCTCTTCACCTGGGGGCCCTCCATCTGCAACACAAACACAGGGGACTGTAAACACACGATAAAATCATCCCGTGCATGCACACAAAATATATTGTTTAGCATTTCAAGCCATTTTAAACATTGCCCTGCAGGCGTCATGCAGGAACACATGCTGCAATGCTGGCTTTGTTTACAGCCTCTCTCCTGCAGGAAAGGGGGTTATTTATGCAAAAAAAGATGCACATTTTACCTGGTTTTCCCTCGTTGTTGCATTCAGTTTGGGCATCTTGCTCCCAGCAGTCACTACGAGTTTCTTTCCCCTTACTACCGGCATGGCTGCTCCTTTATCCGAACAAACTCTACACTTTGTTCTGTTAGATAAAAAAAAGGCGGGTTGGTTTCAAAGGAGAAAAGTCAGGCTGCATTTGGTGTAGTATTTCATATTCATCAGTTTTACCTGGCTGCAGATAACAAGCTGTAAAACTGAGTTAGCTAAAACACAGTTTACGTATTTCTGTGTTTGCTGGGTGGGGTTTCCACACGTGACTAAGCTTAATATCGTCCATCTTATAATTTAATCTTACCGTGTTTAACAATTCCGTCTCGTTTGATTCAGTGGCTGGGTTTAGGAGCATTAAACACCGCATACAGCTTCTTTAGCTCTTGTAAATAGTCCAGGTTTGCTGTAGTCCTTCAGAAGCAAGAGCTCAAACAAAAGTGATTCAGCTGAGAATCCAAATCTCCTGCACTCCGTTCTCATTGGCTGGAATTTGAGCGGGCGGACCAATCACACACTCGCTAGGGATGCCGTTTCCAAGAAGCGTTGGTTTTGATATAACGGCTCCGTCCGCTGAATATTTTGATTATCAAACATTACAAAATATCTGATTATACACGAATATATTCGCATATTATATTTTAAATGTTTATATAGTAAGATCTATGACATTTAGAAGAATCAATTCTAAATATCAGAGTAAGTTTATAGATAACCCCGCCCATCTCACTTCATTGAAAACACAAATCTAACGAACCTTGGAGGATTTTCAAACATCCTAACAACCCATAGCATTTTAAACGGGTAGAGATTTTAAATGACGTTTTCCTCATGACTGAAGTAACTGACGGGGATTATTTCAAGACAGACATACACGTGACATAGATATGTTATGTAAACAAGTGCAGACTAACTCTGTCAAGCATTTTCTTCTTTCAGGGTAATTGTACTTTACTATACATGAACTGATGTAGGAGAAATAGAAATGATCTGCACACACACACACACACACACACACACACACACACACACACACACACTTATACACAACAAACATGCAGGTAATGCTGCATTTTAGCCCCCTTGAAAATATTTGTGTTTTTTAAAATATAGAACCATGTTTTTTAGACCCCAAATATTTTAAGATGTTAATTTCTGCAGAATAATTGAAATGATTGTTTAAATGTAATTTCTTATAAGGTATTCGGCAGGAAATATGTTGTTTTACAGCCTTTTTTACAAGGCTCCCTTCCAATACAGACTATCAGTAGGCCTACATGAAAACCCAATTATTTTAAGCAAAAGAGTCCACAAGGGATCCCATTTAAACAGCACTGATAGTTTCCCACTAACTGTTAATAAGACATGACGTTTATGTGGCACAACATCCTCAAACACGCAGAATAAAGAAAGTCATAATTCTTGTAGAGGATTTAAGTGTTCTATTTTTTATATGCCCTGGTAGTGCAGGTCTAGCATGTAATAACTTGTCTTAAGAAAGCCACAGGAGACTGAAATGACCCTTAAAATCTATTTAAATGATCACGTTGAGCAATGAGCTCACTGACACTGAGAAAAGTATTTCCTGATCTGGAGCAGAAGGAGCACAGCGGGCCTGCTGGGGATTCAGCAACACACAGTTACTGCAGCAACAGTTTGGATAATAGAGAAAAAAAAACACATTTGAGCAACCAGAGTGCAGGTTCAGGACGGACACCGGGGGGATGCTGGCAGCGAGCGTCCGTCCAGCAGCCAGCAGAGATTAATCTGTGATACTAGTCTGAGTAACGGGAATAGAGGCTATTAAGTGTAACTCGGTCTTGTTAAGCGAAAAAATACATAGAAGATTATTTCTTTCATTTTTGTTCTGACATGAAGACATCTCTGAATACACCCTTTAAATTCAGTCCATTTAAACGTCAAAAAAGGTACAAACATCCCTTGGTTATTTTTCCACTACACGTGCATGTGCTTAGAGGTGGGAAGTAACTAAGTACATTTACTCAAGTACTGTACTTAAAGGTGGGGTAGGTAATTCACTTCAGAAACACTTTTTGTTATATTCCGTGGAATGCTCTTAACATCCCGATAGCAATGAATTAAATGCTTTGACAATAAACACATTTAAAAAATGTCATCTGTGGAAGCCGTAGTGCTGTAAAAAGCTCGACCAATCATCTGAGCCGGCCCGGTTAAAATAACTGGATGGCCTACCTGCCTGTCAGCCTTCCATCTGTGCACAAACTTATCACGTGCCCTCATTGGTCATGTGTGCGTTCGTGTGTGTTGGAGGAGGGGCTCTGTAACGAAGTCTGAAGGAAGGGGCATATTTTTTCCGGTTGTGTATTTTTCAAACGGTTTCTCCATTCTTACCTACCCTACCTTTAAGTACAATTTTGAGGTACTTTTACTTTACTTGAGTATATCCATTGGATGCTATTTTATACTTCTACTCCACTACATTTATGAAAACAGCTTTAGCTACTTTGAACAAAATTAAACTCTAAAAATTAAACTAGTGGACGAACTCCTAATTCACAGAATAGTCAAATTATTCAATCAAGTCAATCAAAACTTAGATTTTCTACAACGGTAAGATACTTGATGAAACAATATTATCTAGAAATGTCACATGTATAAATATACTTTTATATAAACACATAGAGGCCATTTCTCTTCACTCTGCTTACTTTTACTTTTATACTTTAAATACATTTAGCTGATGCCATTTTTCTAATTTTTCTTAAGTAAGATTTTGAATGCAGGACTCTTACTTATTTTGACAATAATGTATTGGTACTTTAACTCAACTAAAGGATCTGAATACTTCTTCCCCCTCTGCATGTGCAACAAAACACTCATAGTTAAAAAGTCCCCTCATGTTCACTTTATTTGAACATCTCAACACTGCAGCGTTGGAGGCCGGCAGTACATACCGTCCAGTCTTCAGAGAGAGATGACATCTTACAACACAGCTTTATTTCACCTCCACTCCCTGTTTACATCATCCAAAACACAAAATGCTTTCACATGAGAGCAGCTTCAACCAGATTTGTCTCCTCCATCAGGGCTGTGATGAATTGTTTCATAAATCTTAGGATTTGCTCATTGGGTTGGGTTTGGACTTTAAATTAAGGGCGTCATGGAGATCTACACACACAAATGATCAGATCATCGAAACCGGAGTCAAACCACAAAAGTAATGCATTTCAAAAGATGTTTGGCGAAGTTACCGGTCTGAATTTGTGACGCTTTGAATTCTCCTTGGCCGTTCGTCTTCTTTTCTTCCTCTTGTGGTAATCTCTTCATCATTTTGATCTCATGACAAGAATTCTTTGGCAGGTTTTGAGTAATGTACACTTGTCATTTCCTTATGCTGTCAAAAAGGTAAACAGCTGCAACACACACACAGGAAGTGGGTGAACTCATCCGTCAAAGCATTTCCGTATAAACTCATTCGCCCCGTAGACACTAAACCGTGAACTATCGCCCCTGTTACCAACTGGTAAGTTGATCTACAGACATTAAAAGCTTCCTGATGTTTCCTGTATCTTGGTTTCATATTCTTTTGGTACATTTACGTAACTTTTGGCTGTAATCTCACCCTCTTGGCCCTGGAGATGCCTTCTTCCTCCTGCCAGGTATCACAGTAAATCAGGAGTTGCCCTTTTTTATGGGTCGTACTTCATAAATCTTAAAGTGTTATGAAGTTAAGCAAGTTTATTAGCCTCTATTTGGTCTGGAAACCTTTAAATATTTTATTGTTTCGTGTTATCTGTCCGGTTTTTTGGATGCTAAGAAAGGTTAACTCCTTTTGTGCAATATGAAAAAACTGAAGATGAAGAAGAGGTTGTTTAGCCTCATAAGGGGTAATAAAACTTTAATTACTTCCACCCAATGCTATCTCTTTGGATTTGGACGGGTGTGGAGGAAACACGGTATATTAATGGGTCAACTGAGGCTTGTTTGTGTTGAGATTTTTATACAAACCTGATCTTGATCTAAGAAAAAGTAAGGTGCGTCACCATTATAATCAAAGATGTTTAAATGGACGTACAGCCAGGAATAAAAAAGATTTCCTATTTCATAAACCTTGCTTTGCTCATCAGGATATCCAAGTTCGATTGCCAATAGAAGACATTCTTTGTTTTAGCTGTAATTTGTTCCACATTTGTGCATCATTCTCTATCTTGTCCCCCTCTCTGGGCTCTGACCGTGTTGAACTCTGATCCACTGAGCAGCACAATATGGTGACACGTCGTACAGTATAACGTTTGTTAAGCACACAATAGGACTGCAGTGGTCTGGTGGAGTTTCATTGGGAGCGTCATTTGCTTTGGCTGAACTGAGAGGGTGCTTGGAAAGGAAGGAGAAACGGTCTGAGTATGTTTGGTTTACAGAGGAAACCATTACCACATGGCGAGCGAGAGGTCATAAAAATGCTTCAAACCTGATTTGAGTCGCATTTTTATCTGCATCAAATTATCCTTAAACAGGATCAAATGTAACCATTATTTTTGATTCACAAGAAGGCCATTAAGTGCCAGATGAAGTCCTTTTACATTACTTTCCGTAAATTGCAGTCGTACTTTTAGAACCCGAGAGGTAGATAAGGAAGTTGTTATACCACGTTCAGTTTCACATTACTTTCACACTGTCTGCCTGATCTGCTTCTCTAATTTCTCAGTCAGAAAATACAAAATACAACCAACTTATCAACTGGCATATGAAGATACATTAGGATGGTCAAATATAAAGAGGAAAATACATATTTGTATGTTTGTGAATCAGCGCCATGGAGAGCAATGGTAGCTACGAGTTTCCAATATATTTCCTAATAAAAACCGTTTGCTCGAGCACCCCTGTTAGCTTATTATTTGAAATGAAAAAGTATTGCATGCTGAATCAAATTTAGACGAACACAGACCCTTTAAAAAAAATCACAAGTCAGTACAAAGCGTTTTTTCCACGTTGTGTTGAAATGGCTACAGATGTGTTCACGTTAGCATCCATTTCTGGTGTCTCAACTTGAAATGACACGGCTCTAAATCTATTAAATACGCAAAAACAATGTGAGTTTAGAGAAAAAGGTCAGGTAGCTGCTTTGGACCCCAGCACAGTTTTTGCGCTAATCCGAAAAACAAACACGTCCTGCTTGTGACTTCCTGTTGGCTCATTCGGTGAGAGGCTGTGGTCGACGCCTCAATCTTACTTACAGTATAACATTCATCGTGTTTGTGGCTTATCTTTTTCTTCTCTAATCTAAAACAGGTGAGGGATGTAGGAATAATAATCCTGCACCATTTAGGAGAAATATTTATGTGCTGCCTGGCATTTTTTGCAAGCACTCAAGTAATAAAAACAAAATAGCTTATTATAGAAAGGAGGCAATAATTGAAACCATTTTTGGACACTTTTCTGTACTTTTGAGCCTTCTGGCGTCGCCATGTTTTCCAGAAAAGGCAAAGATTTCCTTTAAATTGTACTTAAAGTGTTGCTTTCATCCATACAGGATCCGATGCAGGCAGTGAGTGCAGATCTAAGGGCGCCAGAAGCCACTCCGGGGGACCTCAAGAGAATCAGCCTAAACATCGAGGTTCTTGAAGAGTTTGCCCAAAATATGTCCCGGAACATAATCCAGTCTTTCGTGAGCCAAATAGAAATGGAGGAGGACTGCATGACGTCCAAATGTATTCAGAACCAGTTAGTTGAAGAGTTCGCCTCAGCGGTGGTTGATTTGAGAGAAGTTTGGAGAAGTCAAAACATCGAGGACCACCAAGATGGTTCCAAGAGTTCAAGATCAACTGTGGGTATGTATGTATTATTTATTATGTACACTTATTTGTATTTTTTTGTTTGGCCTTATGATGGCTAAAATTGGACGACCATTTTGTTTATATAGCACTTTAAATTGCATGAAATTATGAGCTGTATTGTTTTGTTTGATGTATGTTTATGTATGTTTTATGTGTATGAGGACCCCAGGAAGAATACCCAATGCTCATGCTAGTGCTAATGGGGATCCTAATAAAGAATAAGAATAACTGGGTGGAGGACAGGTTAAACATCTGTCTTTATTGATTGAATCCACAGAGATGGATCCAGACCTCCAGACCTCCAGAGAGACTTCTCGCCCACCTTTCCCCCAGTCGGGGCTGCCCATCGTGGGATCCATCGATTACCCCGACGCCCCTCCAACCACGCCTCTCCTCCCAGAGCTCGAGAAGAACCGACAAAGTTTCGACAGGAAGCTAAAAGGAGGCTTGGCGAAGGTTTTCCTGCCTTCACCTCCACCCACTACCCCGAAATTCAAAGACTCTGACGGAGACCCCAACGACCCCCAGGCGGAGTTGATGGAGCATCTGATGCTCTCGCTGTCCACGGATGACTTGGAGAGAGATTATTTGCCGGTAGGATCTCAACGTGGAGCCAAGATGGAGGCTTTTGCGGAGGGTCTTTCGTGCGACATCATTGACTGGGTGTTGAGCGATGAAAACGAAGAAAACATGGCCGACGATAGCGATCTCCACGTGCTCGCCCACCAACTGGCTGAAACCATCATCACTTCCTCCCTTGATGAAGCTAAGATGCTTGTGTAGTATATTAATGTGATTTATGGCATAGACACACAAAAATATTGAAATCAACCCACACATTACCTCCAGGCTGACTGCCAATGTCTCGTTGAAATGTGATTTACTGCGATAATATTGTTTTATATTATGATTTAAATTGTCTGTCAGAGTTTATCCCCAAACATAGTTCAGGTAAAGCTCATCCAGAGGAGAGTGAAATATTACCCGTAGATATTACAAAAAGTGAGCATGCAGAGATCCAACAAAAAGACGGTTTAATCGTAGGTAAAACTAAATCTGGCACTTTTAATGACACATATTTCCTGGATGCTGTTTATTATAGAGGCTGAATGAAGAACCTGAGGTAAGGGTTTGAGTCCAAGATGGATAAAAAAGAGAAGTGCATTGGCAGTAGAACTAATAGTTGTTTATGTCATTTTGACTGGGATCCAACTACAATACCCATAAATGTCCTGTAGATGGCGTCACAGGAGTAATGGGTTTCTTCAGCATGAGGTCAGTGAGGGTCAGCGGAGGTATTACCTAACAACAATTGGATATATGTGTGCCAGATTGTTGAATGTGTCTTTTAAATAGCTTGTGTTGTTTGCCTGGGTTTGTTTTTTTTATTTATATAATCAATGCTGATAATAAAAACGTTATTTTTGAATTCATTTTTGTAATGTATTAATTCGTTTATTTCGCAGCGACAAACACTTAAAACATGAAATGTGCCAAGTGTAAATATGCCGGATTTAGCTTTGAGCTACTTTCCGTCCCTCACATAAAACATTAACAAAATGAAAATAACAAACATAGCAGTACAAATACATAAAATGCAAGAAAAGTGTAAGAGTAAGAGTAGAATACCCAAGTATTTAGGACATGGTCATACACTATAGCAGCATTGTATTGCACTTTAATGAAAATGCATCACACCACAAAGGAAATGGTGCCCGCAGTATAATTGAGTTCGATGCTGGGAAGTTATTAAGTTATTTCCCTTGTCAACGTCTTAAAACTCTTAATTCAGTGATTCATCCTCCCCTGGACGAAGCTGAATGGTGGCATTCGGGTTGAGAAATTGGTTAAAAAAAACAAGATGTTATACTCACTTCCTTACTGAGATGAGATCAGAAAATAGGGAGCCATTGTGCTTAAACGAAACCGTGTTGGATCCTGCAGAATGAAACACTTTCCTCACTTTTCTCCTATTATTGAATTAAAGTTTGTCCTAAAACTCCAAATTCAAACACATAAATGCTTTGAATAAAGAGTTTTATGGCATCTGGTAGTGCTCACACTTTTAAGACGGGAGATAATGGCTTTACGATCCAGGTTCACACAGAGCCTAATGTTTGCTCTCTTATGTTTGCGTGAGCGTGCAAACACGAAAGCACTCGCACTAGGAGAAATAACAAAGTCAGTGTTGCACAACCAGGAGAACAGCTTCATCTGTGTGGGACAGCAAAAGGACAAACAACAAAACTATAACACATGTATAAAAAGGCTGTATTGAATTTAGAAAACAGATACAGATTTAACAATATCATCTCAAACCTATTTTGTCGTCTGAGTAGCTGATGGCTGTTAATTGCCCCACCATTTGGCTCCGTAATGAAACACCAATGATGAATGTATTAAGGGATCGCTCAAAGTTTCCTCTTTGAAACATCATGAGGTTCACATTTGTGGTTTTAAGTGAAATGTCTCAATGACTGTCGGTTGGATTGCCATGGATAATTTGACACAGACGCGTCGTGATTTGTAACAATTCGGTGATGCATTAGCTCTTGATCTAGAGCCATCACTATATCAATATTTGGATGTTAGAAAATACAAAATGTTGGAAACTAAGTAGGTGGTAAGAAAGGGATAAGCCCTGGGGTCCAAATATGCAGGGGTTTATTTGGTGCTGTTTCAAGTGCTGGTGATTCAATGAGGAGGTCCATTAAAGATCCTGAATTAGAAAACCCCAAAACACTCTGGAAACGAACAACTTTTGAAATAATTACGTCCCACGCAATTGCAAATCTAGCACAAATGAAACAATAGGAATGTTCCCTCTCATAGCTTTGTAAATATTACATTAAATGAGGAAAAGGTAGTCCTTTGAAGGTAAGTCTGACTAGGGTAAATAGCTATAGAAAAATGTTATAAGGACCTCCTGTTTTAAAGATTTTCTTAGCTAAATTCCTCAAAACGTTGCTGTTAATTTGAGCCGCACATGCACACAAACAGAGCACAATACACACACACACACACACACACACACACACACACACACACACACACACACACACACACACACACACACACACACACGTTGCCCGGGCCGCAGTGTGTGATATTCCCTGCAGGTCTGATACATAATACATCGAGGAATGCTTAGTCTGAACTTCTAACTCCCACCGCTGATCACCATTATGTTTTCCCACCACGGGACGCTCACCGACCGACCGACACACTCACACTCGCACACACTCAAACACGTGCACACAGATATACTGCAGGGATGGGTGGACAGCTGTGGAGTCAGAGGAAACACACACACACACACACATCTGGAGAAACGCTTGTTGTGTTGTCAGGTGGTCGGCTGCCAAAAAAAGAGCAAGGCTGAGGGAGGAGGCGTGATGACACACACAAAATGTAGAGCAGAGGGTTTATACATCCCATAATAGTCATTTTAATGGAGCTATGGGAGTACATAAGATATTACACCAACTGCATATCCTGTGTGCAAGAGTAAAAAGTCATTTTGAGAAGGGTTTTGGTTCATCTATGGTACATATATTTTTCCACGTTTGCAAGGTTTTGTTGCGCCCATATTGCATGACATAACAGGATAAAACCCTAAAAGTTGAATATTCATGTAAAGTTAACTATTTGGAGAAATATATCGTATGCTATAAATGTTTTATATTTAATAGTTGAAGGGTTTGTGGGGTCTTTTTTAGCTTTAAGATGCACAACATCGAGAAAAGTTTCACCTTAAAAGAAATTCGAAAATGTGTTTTTTACATATCTAGAAGACATAGCAACATTCGCTATATCATTGTTTTTTTGTATCAGTTTTCTGGTTTTAACCGGTTCTTGAGAGAAATGTCTTGCTCTTTAGCGGATTACGGCTCCATATGTTCACGAGCTTTGTCTCTCTGCTGTTGGTTAAGGGGTTTTCAGAACAGTTGGTGGCCACAAAAACTAAAATAATGAGCTGAAATACACTAAAACCCTCCATAAAGCTGAGGGGAAACTCGAGGTTTGCAACATTTTTACATTACACAAAAACCATTAATCCCTTGTCCCAATAAAAAATGTTTATTAGAGCAACTTTTATTGCAAAAATATTGTTTCACATTTGGAGGGAAGAACATCCACTTTCACAATAATCCATCAGAGGATTGAAGTATTTCTTGCATAACTGCAGATTTGGTCAATTACATTCCTTTCTAAGCACGGTTATTAGACTGTTGACCTGCTTCTATATTGTTCACCTTCTTAAATATTAATCATCATATTAGGGAGTGTCATAATGTTTCCATTGTGTTGTTGTCTATGTCTCCACTTGACTTCAATGTTAACATAACATCTCACCAGTACTGCATTAAAAACATTGGAAATAAGTTGTAGCGTTTTCTGTTCCTAGACAAGGAATGATTGACGTTAGATAGTTTGGGAATCGACTTTTCTTCCAATATTTCTGTATGTTTTAACTTCTTTAAATAGTATTTACTTGTGTTGAACATTAGGGTTAAATAAACTGGCCTGTAATTGAACGTTTGCTGCTTTCAGTGTGAAAGTAGTGCCCTTCTTTGAATTTGCATTGACTTTCCCGTAAACAATGTGTTTCACCAACAAATGCTCTGTTTCAGCTTCCAGTTGGTTATGTTATACGGGAGCCATTGCCAATAAAGAAGCTTGTTTCCTTCCCTGACCTTTCATACGTTATAAAATAGGCATCGTAACTGACATTTGACCCGGGTGTCATACTATCTTCAGCGTGTCTGGCTATATCATTTAAAGGCTGCTGAGTGCATTGGTCTTTTTTTGGCTACTGCCTCTAAAATCATAAATCTGAATGAGGTGGGATTAGCAAACCTGTAAAGTAGAGACTGAACACTCAACTATCGTTTTTCAGGAGTTACTAACAAGAGACTGTGCTTTAGGTGCTGTTTACACGAGCACTTTTCTCTTTTGTAGAGCCCGCTCGTTCACACGAGGCCGTAACGGAGACGCGGAAACGATAACGGGTCCCAACGATGAAGCCATAGCCCCACCTCTCCTGCTCACTCTGTCGCATGTCAGTAGCTACCGTGCTAGTGCTACCTGTCTGACATGGCTACGAGAATGACGCCATTAGTGCACATCCTACAGCTCCTTCTACCACAACCAGTCAGCAAAGTGACATGTAGAATTATCATGACACTACATGTTGATAAATCACCCGCGGGGACATAAACAGAAGGGGACCACTCGGCAACCATGTCGGGGTTCTTCTGTTGCTGCTTTTGGTGTATTCATTTTTAGGCACGAAGTACAGCTCGCCACGTACAGGCTCGGCTAATGGTACTACGCAGCGCTCGCCGAGCGGTCCGCGTGTAAACGGACGACCTTTTCTTGATATCGGTTGCGTTTGCGTTTCGTATGGTTTGCGACCCTGTAAATGGGGGTCTACATTCATACCTTTGTTAAAAATGGTCTGTATTACAATTCTTTTCTTCACCACCTTATAAGCGTTTGTTTGCATGCTAATACTTGCTTCACTTGCCGTAACTAAGTAGGCTACAACATTGAATCTGGCTTTAACACCTGTTCCATCTCCATTCAGGAGAAAAAAGTGGTTTGACGATATCCTCGAGGAAAGAATATTAA